AAGAATGCTAAAACCCTTTTGTGTTACCTGCATGGGAGGAGCATGATGCCCACTGGGACCAATAGAAACACATGCAGCAGCCAATCAGAGTGTACAGAGAATGCCAGAGCCTGTATCTGATGCAGAGACATGTTGATTACTCACCTGAGGGTTTCAGCTTGTCAGGACTGAAACACCATGAAGCATCATTGGCCTACCCTCACAGTTTGGAAGAAAATTATTACCATTTCCCTGAGCCACCAGTTGGCCAGCTAGCCGCACTGCACAGCATCATGATCATGGCTCCCAGTAGCATTCTACTCTGAGACACAATCATGCTGATCACTATATACACCCCAGGTCTAAAACATCAGAGTCCAGTGGGGAGTCAGGAGCATTACTAGAGGGGGCCAGCACCAACCATCCTAGATTTTGTACACCCACACCCACAGGAGTTTGCATGGTTGAGGATTGTTTGTGGAAAATACTCTTTCAGCAGATGCAACAGAACGCTTCAAACTCCAAATATTGGTGGATCATATTAAGGTGAAGGAGGCCCTGCTTGCTGACTTCTATAGCAATTCTAGGTATTCCCTTTCCTACTGGCTCGAATATGAGCTGCAGGCGCAAGTTGATACTTCACTGTTCACGTCATGATCTGGAGGTATGACTGGAAATTCCATCAGGCACCTGAGTTCCTTGGTCTCCACCCCTGGGCGGAGTCATCATCTCTCCTGCAGTCCTGTACACCTGAAGCCAAATCTGGGTAATCAAGTTGAGGATTTAAGCTTACCTTGTTTTCCTGTGTCACAGTTTCCCTGGACCTTCTTCGCCACTGCCTTCAACCTCAGCTTGTTTTGGATAACCTCCACACTCTGGAAAATACAGAAAACCTCGCCTGCCTGCCCTCCAGCTATCACTCACCACCTCGGATGCAGTGGAACTCAGGTCACCTTTGCCAATACTCACCTGAATTCTCTCCACCTCTCCCTCAAAGCCAAGCTCACCCCAGCTGTCAGTAAAAAATATTAATCATACCCACCTTCCCTAGGTGTCCTGCGCCCACCACCTTCCTAACCACGTTTGCTTCTCTTCCAGATACACCCGCTCCATTCCCATCGCAACTGTCACTTCACAGTTCACTCTCGCTGACCCACGGCCGCATCACTACTCTTTGCTATGAATTAATCTGTTTTCTTAATAAAACACTGTAAAACTTACGAGCCGTCTCTGTTGTGGTTCGCTGCATTTGAGTCTAGTTTAGCTATCAGCCTGTGGCCATTGTGACAATTCAGCTCAAAGAAACCAGTATTTCAGACAGGAGAGGAAAGGAAGAAGTCATCCAGTAAGATAACCACTGCAGTGTTGAAGGGGTAAAAGGGCAGCCTGCAGAATTACCACTGAAAACCATGAAACAAGATCTCCATGTCCTCTAAGGTGAGGCTGTCTCTTTTAGCATTTCTCTTGTTTTCCACCCAGGATGGATTTTCAAAATCCACCATGCTCTCACTGCCAAGACACTTGGGCTGGCAGAGCACACTCAGCCAGTGAATGCCCTTAAGCAGAAATCTTAAGGATCTGGCACTACAGGATCAGCCCACACACATGTGGTCACCCCGTTAGAGCCTGTCTGACTTGGCCCTACAGGTGTCAAGATGCACCTTGGCTGGACATTACAAGGTCCAGCTCAAGAGGTAATGCAGCAATTCAATTCAATTCATTTTTATTTATACAGGGCCAAATCACAACAACAGTCACTATAATGATAAGGATAAGATTTATTTGTCAGTTGCAGTTGCCTGCAGCTGACCATACAGACAATACCTAAAATATACAAACTTACATTGGGGAGAAATGTCAGGCCAGGCAGCAACAAAGGGATAGACAGTGAGATATGTAACATATAGGGGCAAAACAGGGTTTCTGCCTATGATGACTTCCAACAAGGAAGTCATCATGAGGAGAAAACAAAAAACTCCATAGCATATAAAGAAGCACAAATATCATCACACTATAACACCATGAAAAACGGACAATCCGCTTTACATTGCAAGGTAGATGCTACAATAATACATACAGAGAAAAACCCAACAATCATATGACCCCCTGTGAGCAAGCACTTTGGCGACAGTGGGAAGCAAAAACTCCCTTTTAACAGGAAGAAACCTCCGACAGAACCAGGCTCAGGGAGGGGCGGGGCCATCTGCCACGACCGGGTGGGAAGAGAAAGAAGGAAGACAGGTTAAAAGAAATGCTGTGGAAGCGAGCCAGAGATGAATAACTCTTGACTAAGGAGCACTTGACTGAGGACCAGTGTTATTTCACCACCCGTCAGTCCCAGAATGCAAACCTGTTTTGAGATGTTGGAGAGACTATGGCAAATGGATGTGCTACCCTTTTGCACTGCCAAAGCCAGCACCAGGTCGTGACAAGAAGCTATTAAGCTTCTTGAGACATTGGTGGAGTTAAGCTGTATGCAACACAGCTCCTACAGGCTTATAATATGTCTACGCTGTCTGCACCTAAGGAGGCAGTTCTCCCTGTGCGCCACAGTACAGAGCGCAGATTGTTGAAGTCACTGGAGCATGTCCTTGCCTACATGACAGAGATTCAGAGACTGGAAAGGGGAAGTTATTTTTTCAAACTATACTGTATCTTTGTAAGGTCTACAATATAAAGCGCTTTGAGGCGACTCCTGTTGTGATTTCCCGCTGTAGAAATAAAATTGAATTGAAATTAAAATTAAAATTGAGCTGAGAATACTCCGACTAGCTGCTATATCCCATGCCACATGGCGCAGCATAACGGCAAGAATTGACTTGTATCAGTGACCACCTTCTCCATGGATATACTTTGGGGCCACAACTCCTGGCAGTTCAGTCTCTTCTTCGAGACTGAAGAAGTCACTTGGATGAGTGACAAAACGTTTCTCCCAAAAAACGCTACATCCAGATCAACAGAATCAACTTTTTGGAGATTTACTTTCCTGGATGACTGAGAATGCATCAAGACGATGTTTATATTATTTCCTACAATTTCAGAACCACTCCCCTACTGGCCAGCTACAGTTTGTGCTTAATGTGTGCCAATGATAAATAAAGTTTTCCAGTGCTGTGACATCATCTCTGACTGGACATTATTACAAGAGGACAGCACTGAACAGCGTTCTAGTGATAGTGGGTTATTGTGTCTGCTATAACACCATGTATGAATCACATCATTTCCTGTCACAGTTACCCAAAAGGGGTTTTGGGGTCAGTTTACAAAGTGAGGTACAGTGAGGATTATTAAAAGAATAAAGAAAAGGAAAACACTGCAGTGGAGAAAATGTTCAGATCAAACACCAAACAGTTTTCTGAGGAAGTCTTAAACCTTCCAAAACAAAGAACATTCCATAACTCTCACATGTTGGCCTATCTCTCCCTGATAAGGAGAAGGTGTCTCACTATCTGTCTAATGTCACCCATGAACTTACAATGGCCCCACTGTATCAAGTGTGTGTAATGAAAGTGTTACTGGGAAAGGGATGTGTGGAATACTCTGTTCAGTCTGCGGCCATCATGACTGAGCTTTGGATAATTTAAAAATAATGATTGGATAATCAATCAGTCGACTTGACTTGCGGTTGCAGCATACATAAGTGAAGCAAAATAAATTCACAGAAAGATTTCCAGGTTTCCTGAAACTATAGTACGTGACGTCATGCTTCTTCTTTGCTCAGAAACGTGTCATTATCCTCAGGCAGAGAATCACAGTCATTGACAGTAGAGGGACAACTGAAGGTAACAGCTTTTTATTATTTCTTTTATAGCATTGTTACTATAGCACAACCATGACAGGTGACTTTCTTATTCAATTTGATTCATATGAGAGCTTTAATCCAGAATAGTTAATCATAGTCGAGGCTATTTATCTTCTGAATGTATGAACAAAGCAAACGTATCATGTCCTTTCTTTTCTGTGGATAAAAGTAGTTGGTGGCAATGGAAAATTGCATTTATGTTGTTAAAATTCACAAGTCAGTGTAACTTAGTGAAGACGTAAAACTCGTACGAGGAAAGAAGTTTCTTTGTGTTTGATTATGAGACCACTGAGACGTCCCAACTTCCGTATGTACGCATGTAAAAAGGGGGAAGTAACACAGGAAAATGCTTTTTGAAAAGTGCTACAGCAGCGTCTCTGTGCTTTCTAATGAATGCTGCATGCTTATTGATACATGCGTATATGTGCACATTTGTATCACTCAGATCAGCCATGAAGCTGTTTCCACATCACCCTGTTATTTGGTCCAGTTTGTTGGTTTTGTGGTTCACACAATGTGGTAAGTGAAAGAGTAATCACAATGTACACAGACACTCTGTGAACAAATGGGCTATAAGGAATAGCTATGAAAACATTTGACCTTAAATCATTGGTGTTTTTTTTTAAACAAAAGATTTCCTTTAATATTACTTTAATCAGGGTGGTGTTCAGCTTTATTTCCTTTTCTTCTTCTTCTTCTTCCCCCCAAGAATCTGAGGGCCACACTTTGAATGCCTGTCAAGAGAAAATGGATGACCAGTACAAGGTGAAAATAAACCTGCCTTTTTATCTTTGAAAGACCATACAGACATGGTGCTTGTACCATTAGGTCCATAAGTATTTGAACAGTGAGACAGTTATTGTAGTTTTGACTCTGTACACAACTACAGCCGATTTGAAATTAAACAATCAGGAAGTCATTGAAATCCAGACAGGAATTACAATTTTATGTATAAAAATGGCTGTAATGGCTTGCCACTCTTTACTCCAGCACCATTGTGTTGGTGTACAGAGACTGTCCAAAAATGTATGGCTCTAACTAATAAATATAAATATGGTGTGTTTTTTAATGTTTCAACGTTCTGATCTTGTATGTGAAGTTGGGTATGGTTCTCATACGGACTTCAGCTCAGCAGGATTCCTATGAAGACCTTACAGATATAAAGGAGAAGTTTATCTGCCTCCTCTACCCAACAAATGAGCTCAACTGCTCCTGGTCATTCAACACTTTAGAGAAGGATACTAAGCTCTCTGTGTTTATCAGGTATTCTTATTTTTAAATAGAGCTTTATTTACAAATAAGGTACAATAAGCTGAAACACTGCTTTGAGTCTGTATCTCCTCTGTCTCCCCTACCAGCATTTGTGATGATGAAATACTGGTTGAGTCACTAAACTATACTTCTGTGGAAAGAGCTGGATCAGCGTCTTTGATTCTCAGCAATAATATGGCAGAAGTCATCCTTCATTTGAACAAGTCCATGCAGAACAAGTGGACGTCTTACACCTACGTGTATGACATGGACATGCTGGGTAATATTTCAAGACTATTAAGTAGTTATAAATGATAATGCTATAGATCATATTAAAAAAAATACAAATATTTCTCTCGCTTTTGACAATTTTTCTCCATCAGTAATTTAAAAATTTCTGTCCTTTGAGATCTTGAAGGCTGTGACTAAAACTCGGGGTTAGTGCCAAGTACAGGGGGTATGGAGTGGTAACCTGAAGTTTCAGTTCAGACTCCAGTGTATTTCAGCCACAATCTACAGCAGATGTTCAGAATTAAACGTTTCCAGTTATTTTACTAATTGTGCATGTGTGTCTGTGTGTCTGTGTGTGTGAGACAGAGCTCCTTTCTCCACCTCCAAACATCTATGCTTCAGTCAAAGGTGGAGCCCTGGTTGTATCATGGGGTCTGCCTCGCACCAGAGAAGTCGTTAACTCTTATTGTTTTGAATACCAGCTGGACAAAGGTGATCAGGTATAGTATCTCTGATCACGGATCTTTCTCGTGCACATATGACAGGATTAATGAATGAGACAAACTTGGTGAAAAACTCAACTCAGTGAGGACTAAAGTATTTTTAATGTTTTAATTAGAGAAAAACAAAAATGACTTTTTAAAGTAGAAAATGTGAACATCTTTTGATAAATGCTGGTTACATTTTTTTCCATTCTCAGAAGCAATAAATAACACATTCTGATAGGTTTAGCTGTACTCAATAGAAGTTGAAAGTCAGAGCAGTCTGAGGTACAGAGGAACATTAAGGTAAACCCAAGATTTATTTATTTATTTTTAATGGCTCTTTTCAAAACAGGAACAGCCAATATACTTGATCGCCCAGCAGTCTTACAGAGAGCCAGTTTCAGATGCCACACGCACCTACAAACTGAGAATGAGGACACGAATAACAAACACCTGCTCTGGATCATCTCAGTGGAGTGAATGGAGTGATGGTGTTGTCGTGCAGAATGATTCAACCGATGGCTGGTGATCCAGTGTCAGCGACTGGTTGAAGGGCTAGTGTCTGAAAGCCTTAGTAAATGTTATTATTTTTGAAACTTTCCTTTCTTGGTCATATTCTTTCTTGGCCCTGTGAAACTGCATTTCGTTGCCCTGTACCTGTGCATGTGCAATGACAATAAAGTTGAATTCTATTTTATTCTATAGGAATTGACAAAAAGAGATATTTTCTTTAACCATTTCGCATATAGTGGCCACTATAATGGACAGCTATTCAAAGACCGTTTTCTTGTATTTGTGTCAGTGTTCATAGTTTACTTGCACATAAACACAACACAGTGTATATTATTTATTCGTTTTTCAAATTCATAAGTCAAAACATATGTTGTCCACAGGTGGACATTTTAAAAAACATTTTAAAAAAGTTTTTAAAAAAGTTCAACAATCTGCCTAAAGATGAATAAAAATACTTAAGAAAACAATCCTGATTGAGGTTGTCATAATTCATGCATGAAAGGGTTAAGCAAAGTTGGATAAAAGCTGCTTCCATGTAATATAATGTTTCTTTCTGTTGGTTTCTAAATACAGATGTATGTAAAGTCTTTCTTATCTTTAAAAATGGCAAGGTCTAAGACCCTCACCTTGCGATACTAATAGCTTAATATTAGGATTGTTATCTAAAAAAAATGTGAAAAGCAGGTAGTGCTAGAAACCAAGTAACAGTGTAGCGTCCCCACCAAATAATGTGTTAGGGGGAAAAAACATGCTCCTGATTAAACAATCTTCTTCCCCTTTACTCAGGTAGAGCTTCCAAAGACCGGTGTCTTTTGTGGAGACATGACTCTGAAAACTCTAATTCAAGCACTATTTATGCAATCTACATGAGTCCTACTGTACTGTCAAGAGGTCATCCTTAGCTTTCCATGGTTGCCACATTTGAGGGGGTTAGACCAACAGAGCAATATTGTTTTCAAAATAATGAGAATTGCAGCTTTTATGGAAGTTCAGTTTTATTTATATAATACTAAATCACAACAACAGTCACCTTGAGGTGCTTTATATTGTACAGTAAAGACCCTACAATAATACAGAGAAACCCCCAAGAACCAGACCCCAAGAACCCCTTTCAGCACATGACACTCTACATTGTCACACATCATTCAAATCTGACATTTCTCTGTGATGACCCACACTACCTTGACTTCTTTTTGGTCTGCTTGAGTGTCAGGTCTTATTTGCTGGCATTGGAAGGCTGATGTGACACGTTTGTGTGCCAACACTCTTTGACCATGTGATGGTCCTGGGTCAGTGACCCAGTGTTTTGTGTATTGTTTTTGTAATTTGTTATTTCTAGTATTTAATAGAAGTTTAGTTCAGTGCATTTGAGTTTTAGTCTATGGATTTCCTGTTTTATTCTGAAAGTCTGTGTCTCATGTCAATGTCTCTAGTTTTGTGTCTCCCTTTTAATTTGTATCAGCTGTGTTCCTCATCTGGTCCTCATTCCCTCATTTTCATCTGGTATTTATTTTCTGTGTTTTCTTCTGTGCAGGGTCACGTCGTTAACGTCTGCTCACCATCGGTCCTGCCTGTGTTAGTGTTCCTGTGTCATTTTGAGTTTTGTAGTTTTGGTCAGCAATAAAGCTGAGATTATTCTCTGAGTTTACCTCTGCCTTCACTTCTCCGCCTGCCCGCACACAGAAAGCCTTGACAGATCGTTTACAGCACTGCTGTAAACTGTTTACACACCATGGTTACACTAAATTTTGATGAGAACTCTCTAAAAGAGTTTTTGAGAACTCTCTTAAACAGAATGCAACAAAGAAAGATTCCTTTCACGGGCCGGTGACCTGGGTGGCAGTTGAGGAACCAAATCCCACAGCTTCAGAACTCTAGCTTACACAATACTGCTTACTCATACTTTGGATGTCATCATTTTGTCCCTTCCAAGGCTCCGAGTAGGACTGCACTTTCACAATTCTGAGTAAAATCCTTTCTCACTCAGTCTCCCGTCATATCATCCATGACCATTATTACTACCATGGCGTATCGACCGAGCTGTATCTGACTCATAGGTGTGCAAAAAACCCACATCTCAACAATGAGAATTTATTTGTTAAAATTGTGTTTTAGCGTTCAGATGTGTTTCTATGCTGCTGTATAGGTGGTAATGATGTAATGATTCAACACCACAGTTACTAAAATCATCTCTGTGTTCACACTTTTCAGTTGTGTGATCTTGTTGAGCACATCATTGGTGCCTTGAGCCAAAGCAGGATTGAAGGACTAACCTGTCTAGTGATGCGCAGCAAATGTATTGTATTTGTTATAATAGTGTTTGAGATGCATACAGTGAGACCCAAAGTTCTATTCTGGACAATAATTTGCATGCAAAAGCCAGGTGCAGCAAAAATGAAAACTCATATATGCAAATTGATGTTTAATTTCTTTAAAAAAAAATTGTCAGAAGGTTAAATGAAATTGAATTTTCTGGCAATTATTTCATGTTTCGGGCTTCACAGGTTTAAAGCAGATTTTTTTAGACTTTTTGTCATCTGGCATATAAACTTTCATCATTTAAACTTTTAAACTTGTTGCATGAGAAAGCCAAATAACAAAGTTGACCTCAACATCAGCACAAATTTAATGTGAGAAAATAGTTTAGAAAGAAGAAGTGGGGGTGGTTTGGTACCTATTTGTTAGAAAGTCATACCACAGCATCTACTTTAAACTTCCTTAAGCTGCAGACAGAGGTCCTCTGGGATTGGTCGCAAAAAAAGCCAAATAAGGTGAAAATCAAAAGAAAAAGGAAGAACATAAAAATAGATTAAGGGCAGAGGGCACCTTGTGACTCGTCTCTCTGGTTCTTTTACATTAATGTGTTTATTTTAAAATTATATAAGTGTAAACTGTACTATGTGTGTTGTTACTGTGAGTAAAAGAACACAATTTATTAGACTATAATGTGTTAAATTTGCTTAGATGAGAGGGTCCATCAGTAGATCAGAGGAATAGGGAGGGATTTGTCTGTGTGTTTCAGTTTGGCTTAGCTGTAGGCTTGAGAGTGTGTGTAATTGTGTAGAGGGAAAGGAATTTATTGCCACTGGGGGTCTGCCTGTAATGAAAGGAGACAGGAAGCTACAGTTGGGGGATGCTGATGCTGATGCTTGTACCTCATAATTGTTATAAGTTAGAAGTAGATTTGCAGGAGCCTCTCCACATGCTTATCTGTAAATGTAAGACAAGAAGAAGCCAGTGGCCCAGTGGATGCAGAGTGGGGGTCTCAGTGTTTGTAATCTGTTAACTGTGTTTTGTATGTTTTGTAAAGGAATTTGGTATAGCTTGGGAGAGAGGAGATTACTTTTATGACCGGCAGAAAGTCACGTACACAGAGACACACATACACAGTGCTTTAACTGTTACGACGCACCCACACTCACTCATGTGCACTCACACATACACACGGGTACACGCACACACAGACACTCACATGCTCGCACATACGTACACAAACACAGAGTTTGCAACACACCATGGGGGTTTTATGATGGGTCACTTCTGTATAACTGGTTGTAGCAAACAAAGAAGTGGAGATCTGCAAAAACCCATGAAGGAGATTTTGAAAGCAGTTTTGTTTACACATTAAAGATCTTTGTCATTTCTAAATGCATGTGCTGTCAAGCATTTCTATACAATGTGGAGTTCAGGAGATACTACAGATATACTGAAGTCATGCAAAGGTTGTGTTGATGTGTGTTTGGGTGGAAATTGTGATTTGAACGTTGTCCTCGCCTGACTTTGATGACTCTGATAAAATGACCCATTGTAAGACAGCACACACACATCAACTGGAGACATGTTGTTGTTTCATAGTCGCATCACATCATTTACATCTGGATATGATATAAATATTATTCTGCATTTAAAAAACTTCCACCCCCAAAAGTATTTATTGTTCCTTTATAAAACAACTGTTCAGCAGTACAAAAATATTCAGAATATAAAACAACTTAAATATATTACTTAAAAACAAGCTATTAAAAAAGAAGTAAAAATTTTTATTTTTCCACCCCATGACAGATGTAGTGTGGGAGGATGTGCAGAGGGTTGGTGTGACAGAAGATGGCGTGGGATAGAGGTCGATGATCTGCTGTAACAGGAACAGCTGAAAGAAGATTTGACTTAACCAGTGTTTGTTTCCTCTTTCTTTGTATGTTAAAGAAATTCCAATAAACCCCATTTCATTAAAAAAAAAAATCCTAAAATTCCTAGAAAAAAATGTCATAGAAAAGATGAACTAAGCATTTTTATTACAGACAATGAAATGCCACCCACATACAGACACAAATAAAAGAGTTGTATGTCTGAGAGTTCATTGGAAACGCTAGTTTAATTCATGAAACCATTTGATATGTCTGCCTTCTATTTACAAGACAGACACTTTTTAGTTAAGCCTTGTTGCTCATAATGCTCGTTAGTGCTTTTGTAACATGCTGGAAACATTCCTCTGAGATTTTGTCTGACTGTTGCAGCATTTAATATAATTACATGTAGATTTTCAATGTAATTTTGTTAGATATGTGTAACATAAAATGCTAAATTTACTGGTTAGATGAAATGCAACTGTTTGGTATGCATTCAGTTTTTGTTACGGCCATTTTCTTTCATGATTATTTGAATAGATAGAAATTGGATTTTATATATTTCAGTTGTATTTTGTTAAAAATGATTGTGTCATGTTTGAAGGTGAAAAGTAATTTCTTTTTGAATGTAGCCTTGGTTTGTTGTTCTAAGCTGCTATGAGTGCCAACTGCAGGTGGCTCCTGGAGTGGTCTTTTACTGCTGTAGCACTGCACCCCTCATCATCAGACCCCTATGATAATGGTGTGTGCTCAGCGATGCTATTCTGGAGAACCTGGTTGTAAACAGTGGTTATCTGAGTCACTGTTGCCTTCCTATCAGCTCACAGCAGCTTGTTCATTCTCTTCTGACATCAACAAAGTATTTTTACCCAGAGAACTGCTGCTTAATAGATACGTTCTCTTTTTCAGACCATTTTCTGTAAACACTAGAGATGGTTGTGCAGAAAATAATCCCAGTAGATCAGCAGTTTCTGAAATACAGTGGGGCAAAAAAGTATTTAGTCAGCCACCGATTGTGCAAGTTCCCCCACCTAAAATGATGACAGAGGTCAGTAATTTGCACCA